GGCCAGCCCCTTAGACCTCTCCACTGGTTCCCTACTCCACGCTGGCATGTTGCATTCACATCTTGGAGCACTAGCTTGAAGTCTGGTCCCTCTTTCCCTGTGGAGATGTAAACAATACCCTCCCCTTGGGTGGGTTAGTCCCCTGTGCCCCCACTACCCATTTCTTTTTTTTATTCTTTTTTTTCCGTTCCCCACCAAGTTCAATTTTTCTTAGAAAATGGTATAACATAATTAATGTGAAAACCCTAGCAGTAAATTATCCATTCTCCCAGGGGAAAACGTTTTAAAATTAGAAATGAATATCTGAAAAAGGCTCATATCCTCCAGGAAACATCATTAAAATGCTAAGTATTTAAAGCTAAGCAACAGAATTTACTCTTTCCAGCTCAATGAGGGGTATCAGGAGACCAGTGACTCTTCATCTCTCCATAGACATGAAAGTTAGATGATTTTGGCTTTGTTTGTTTGTTTTCTAAGCTCTAAATAAATTTCTATGGAGCTCTAGTGGTGCAGTGACTACAAGTTGAAAGTCAGCCGTTTGAAACCGCCAGCTGTTCAGCGGGAGGAAGACAGGGCTTTCTACCCCCATCAAAAGTCACCGTCTCAGAAACTCACAGGGGCAGTTCTACCCTGTCCTGTAGGGTCACTATGGGTCAGAATCCATTTGCTGGCAGTGAGTTTTGGTTTATATGAGTTTATAGAACAAAACCAAGATATTAGGATCCAATATATTAGGTTTCAATGATGACATGTCAAATTATGAGACGATAAATATATTAATTTTATTAGCTGTTGTAACAACCATCCCCAAGTTTTAACATCCTAAAACTATAAAGATGCATTTCTCATTCACATCACAACCCAATCAGGGGTCCAGTCTTCCAAGTGATATTACAGATATGGCCATTCTTTTCAGCTTGTAAGTTCTCATCTTCTAGAAATGCCTGAGAGTCATGCACAGGACACCCTGCATTCAAGAGATAGAATCAGCACACATCACTTTTCCTGCATCCCATTAGCAGTCACACAATGCTAATGTAAGTTTTCTTAGGTGTCCAGGACAAAGAAATGAGATAGAGGGGCATCTAAGCGATGTCTGCTCTAGGGAGGATGCTTGTCCATTAACCACTCTGGCACTCAGTTCCACTATATAAAATAAGCTAGTGGGACAATATCATGTTGTTTTGAGCTGCCATGGAGTCAGCCCCAACTCATGGCAACCCCCCCCACCAAAAAAAAAACCAACCAAAATGTTCCCTAACCTGTGCCACAGGTTGAAAATCAGTTCCATTGTGATCTCTAGAGTCTGTGCTGGTCGATTGTTGGAGGTAGCTCCCCAGACCTTTGTTCTTAGTTCATCTTAGTCTGGAAGGTCCACCTAAACATTTTCAGCATCTTAGCAGCACACAAGTGTCCACTTACAGAGGGACAGCGGCTGCACACTGGTTGGGAATAAATCTTGGGTCCCCTGTGTGGGAGGTGAGTAATCTACCACTGAACCACCATGCACTTCAGCTCTGGAATTCTGTGAGTCCCAAAGAAGAGATGCTTCTTCAAGTGTGTTCATGGATATGGTCTGCACATAGGATAAACTTTACTACTGTTCTATTATCTGAGACTTTTCTTCAACTGCTTAACATGGGATTTGTCTTCAGTGGTTTCAATGATACCCAAACAAGTACATTCAAGAGAGAGAGGAAGATTGTATCAGGCTTAGAATCAGCACACATCACTCTGTCCATATCCCATGGTCTTGAAGACAATCAAGATATCAATTTCTAGCCCTAAGTTTCTATGACCCAATGAATAGTTGTGCTAGTCTGGGTACTTTATAGAAACAAATCCACAGAAACTCATGTATAAGAGAGAGTTTTATATAAAGGATAAGTGCACATCAAGAAAACATCCCAACTCAGTGCTGCCCAAGCCCACAAGTCCAACATTAACCCATATGTCCAACACCAACCCACA